ACACTCCACTATACAACCTTCATTCTGGACTGATTTTTTATGTTAAGAGTAAGCCTAACCGTGCACTGGTGGCCTAGTGGCAAGAAGCTGCACTGCAATTCCAAAAGAACGTGGTTCAAATCCAACAGCTGCTCAACAGAAGCATTGAGTCTCCTCCCATGTGATTAACTGCCTCTGAAAACCTGAGGAAAGGTCAGCTAAGGGGCATTTCTGATTCCACCACATACAACAACATCATACAGGTTAAATATATTTGATGAATGAATAAAACAATCACAGACACTTAAAAAAAAGCCTAAGAAATTTGTTAAATGAATGAAATTTAAATGCAGTAAACAAAATGCTGCTTAGTCACATTATGAGTCCTCTTTGGGAAAATGTAGTATCTGTGTTGCTAATCTTCTGACTTGCTTCTTTCATGAATCTGGAGTTTCCCATACTTAACCTCTATTATTCCCAAACTCCTTTTCTAATCTAAGTCTGTATTGTATTTGAATTTTCTTAGTACTCTTTTTTAATTTTTATTCTTTAGTTAAGTGTTTGGTTGGATGAGTCAGGAAAACTTAACAGTAAATTAGTGTGAAATAGAGTGCCAAAAAGCTAATATTCCCCCCCAGTCCCTCCCTTCAAAAGCAGTTCAAGAAATATTTATTTAGCATTCATTTGTGAGACATCTGTGATAATTAGGTGAGTGGGAGTTTTCAAGGAACTTAGTCTAATGTAGCACCCTCCCTCCCTCCTCTGCCTACAAGTGGGTGTATATAGTTACACCCCTGTCATTTTCTAACCTAATTTGACTTTGAAAGCAGCATTAAATTGAAAGCATTTTATCTCCTTATCCTGACAACAGTGTTGTCAATTTTGTTCTGACTCATTTGTCTAAGGTTGCACTAATAATGTAGCTAAAGAACTATGATTATATCCCTTATATTTGTACAGCTAAAGACTTATCAATTTTGCTTAAAAAATGAAATATTCAAGTATAATTAAGAATCTTAAGACTTACAGCCAAGTAAAATTGCTAAATATACATACTCAAAGAAGAAAAATCCTTATGTTTCTGACTGTTATAGCTTCTTTCATCAGAAGAAAACTACCACAGCATTTGTTACAGCCAGTCAGATAGTCAGTGTGGTTCTCCTCCAAGGGGTTGGTCAGAAGAGTTGGATGAACGTGGGCATACCTTATATACCAGTGACTATACTAATGAAAAGGTACATTCATTATTTCCTCTTATAGTGTTTCTTGTCAGAATTCTTTTGTGAAATAGTTGTGTACTGAAGTTTTAGTAGCATTAAATAAACTAATAAAACTATTCTTTATTATAATTCTGTAATAATACCATTCATTATGAACATTCAGTAAACAGATTCATGGTTTTAAATATCTTAGAGTGATAATGGTTTTTGTGGTATTGATGCCCATTTAAGACAGATCTTCTAAGAGCAAACCTTCTGGCTATCATGTTTATACTTCTTTAATAAGCATATTACTCTCTTTCCTTTGAGAATAGTTTTTTATATGTGCTATTACACTATCTCACTGACTGTGCTTCTTTTTCTATTATGACCAAATTTATGTGAAACAAAAACCATGAATCTAATATTTTATAGTTAATTCACTAGTTTCTAATGGATTTTGAAATTTTCTGTGATATTATGTCTACTATTCTCTGCTGGAGAACTCGTCGGTTGAGAACAGACCTTTAGAAGTTAAAGGGGGTAGGTTTTTACCAAACTGTCCTTTCCTCTTGACACTAGGGAAAAAAGGAAGTTGCAGTTTTTATTTGACAGTCATGATGCCAGTAATAGAAATTATCTTTTCTCCTCATGCTCTCTATATTGCATTAAATTATTATTGTTATTTAAATCACAGTGAGACAGTAAAGGGATTGTGTAAAGTGAGGTATAAATTATTGTGAAGTTTTGTACTTGAAGAGGTTCCTTTTTGGTATGTACTGTGGTCCCCAATATATGAGGACATCTTTATATTAGTATATTATATATTTCTTAGTGGTCTGTTGTTGAGTAGTGTTTGAATCCCTTGTATTACATTGGGTCAAACAGAGAAAATAATCTCACATTTAATATTGATACATTTAGCATGCGACTTAAAAGTTTTTAGTGTTCATGAGTAGCATCATTAGGAAAAGGTATATTAAAATTTGTAAGCATTGTATCTAATATCTCACGTTATATCAGTTTAAAAACTCTTAGTTAAATTAAAAAATAATACTTGTTCTATTTTTATAGTGGCTCAAACATGTTGATGACCAAGGTAGACAGTATTACTACAGTGCAGATGGATCCCGGTCGGAATGGGAATTGCCAAAGGTAACAAACCTTAATACAAAGCTTTTCTTTAACAGTGGTGTATGAGATAATGTCTGAAAATGGTTTTCAGCAGCCTTATTTTTAAATTTTTAGGCAATAAAGAAAAATAGCCAGTCTAGGTGGGGGAAGGTCAGTGAAAGAGAGGAAACCTCAACAAGATAGATTGACACAGTGGCAGCAGACTTGAGTGTATCGGGGATGGTGAGGATGATGCAGGATAGAGCAGGGTTGAGATCTGCTGTTCGTGAATCATGGTCAACTCGATGATGGCACGTAACAACAAAAACGGGATTTCAAATTTACTGAGAATATTGTGCCTGGCTCAAGTTGTTCTGAAATGTGGATAGTTATGTAACACTGATTATTCTAATTAAAGATTGTTTTGGTTTAATCTGAGATGATTATTATTTAAAGTAAGAATTCTCTTCAGTGTAACTCATGTCATCTCATGCCTCGTTCGTTGCTGGGATCATAATTAAAAGCCATCAGTTCCTTGGTGTTCGTTATTTATGCCCATGTTTCTCTGTCACCTCACATGAGGAAAATAAGTAAGAAATACCAAGGAAAAATTGATGCCTTTGAATTATGCTGTTAACAGAGAATATGGAATATGCAGTAGACTTCCAAAAAAGACAACTCTGTCTTGGAAGAAGTCCACCCAGACTCCTCCTTACAAGGAAAAGTGATGAGACCGTATTTTGAATATGTTATTAGGAGGAGCCAATCTCTGGAAAAAGATGCCCTGCTTGTTAAAGTAGAGGACTTTAGAAAAAAGGAAGACCCTTAATGAGATGAATTGATGAGATGGCTTTATAGTGGACATAGCAAGGTTTGTGAGGATAGTCCATAGGGTCACTATGCGTGGGAACCGCACATGATGTTGATTTGAACTTTTCATGTCTGAAAGAATAGTAACAAGTTTATTTTTTTATTGTCAGTATGTTTTATAATTATAATCATTGGCTAAGATAGACTCTGATGATAAGGTCTCTTAGGGTTTAGCTAGATACCTCTTTTCAGACAAGGACATCAGGGCTCAACATGTATCTAAGACAGGTTTCAAAGTGTCATTCTTAGTACTTGACACAGCAGTTTATGCTTGACAACTAATTGGTGGATTGGCAGTGTGAATCCACTTGATGCTGCCACAGAAGAAAGGCCCAGCAGCCTACTTCCCTGAGATCATAGCCATCGAAAACCCTATGCAATGTATTTCCATTCTTAACAATCATCGTCGTCATTAGTCAGAATCAGTGGCAGCTGCTAGAGTAGTATGGTTAATACTAGCATACATTTACATTTTAATTGGTATATCATTCTAATGATTTTATGAAATTATTATTGACAGGTAATTCTGTTATGTCAGTTTTCACATATGCTTTTATTTAAAAAAATTGAGGATAAAAGTAAATCTAAAGAAGAATATTAATAATATAAACAATATATATTAATGCAGTAAATAATAGGTCCTACTGAAATGACTGAAGTTTGGCAAACAATAACCTTTACTGCTTCTACTTAGAAAAGTCAAAGTTATTATTGTCAAGTCATAACCATATCATAGCTGACTCCCCCCACCCTGCAAATTTCTGAGACTGTAAATTGTGCAGGGGAAGACCGCCCATCTTTTTCGTGAAAGCCTTTGGTAGATGTAGACTACCACTGCCTTATGAAGTATGCACCAGAGCTCTCTCAACTAGTAGTAATAATGATTTTCCTCTTACAGAAATATTATCTGATCTTTAATTTGATGAAATAGTACAACTTGACACTAGTAGAATAAGATTGTATGTATCAAAACACTATGCTTAAAAATTATTAAACATTTCAATGAATGATTTTTAATTTTGTTTTAATCTTCATTATTCATTTGTACTTTAGAATCTAACTTTGAAGATAAAATCATATTCGTTTGAAATTTTTAGATTGTACAGATTACTCACAACTCCTATAAAAATATGAAGTGACTTAATACTTTCTTTTCCAAATTTAATTGCCTTTTAGTAAAGCTTTTAAGTAGGAGAATAACATTTGAAGCTTAATACAGATTTTACCAACTTTTAAAGGAAAAAGGTGTGTGTGTGTATTAAGGTTAATAATATTATTTTATAAATGTACCAGGAAGAAGTCACAGACTAACTACATCAGGTACTACTTTTCAAAACTAATATCATCTATAAAAGCCTAAATAATTAAATTGGAAAGGAAACAAAAAAACCACTGTGATTAAATTGGAAAAGGAAAAGACTGATTAAATTGGAAAGGAAGATGCACTGAATGAGTAATTTGGAAAGGAAGACACTGAATTATTAAATTAGAAAGAGGAATCTTATGCATAGTGAGGCCCAAAAAATATAATATGAGCATGATTTGGGATAGGGGACATAAATAACTAAAACAAAGAGATGACTTCTGTTAGGCTTAGAAGAAGCCAGAAGAAAGGTCTATTGTAAATTGTGCTCTTAGAATTGATTTTAGTTATAGAAGACTAATACCCCATTTGTATTACATTAATAAATAATTTATTTAAACAAATACTATTTTTTCATTTCAGTCAAAAATGTATACTTTCATTTTTACCAATACTTCAAATATTAGTTGAATTTATAGAGAAATCTTCTGTTGAACACAGTTCCTTGACATTGAAATAATGAAACCAATCACAAGACTTCTTTTTGAGTGATTTGTTTGGGATCAAGTCCCAGTAAGGGAAGTGTTCCCAGGAGCAATTTGGAATTTCAACCAATTAAAAAAAAAAAAGCCCTATTGAGTTCCTTATTAAGTTTTGTACTTTCCAAGGTCAGGAAAATTCCGAGTTAAATATGCGGAAGCCTGCTCAATTCTGGAGATGTATTGGGTGAAAGAAAGGAGAGAAACAAGAGACATCCTCAAAGGGTAGTTTCCAGCAGTGGGAATGGATACTGATCATGACAAGTACTGAGACCTAATTTCTGTGATAGCATTTCTTTTCTGCCATGTTGTTGTTGTTGTTATGTGCCGTCGAGTCATTTACAACTCATGGCGACCCTATGTACAACAGCCCTAAACCCTGCTCTATCCTGTGCCAACCGCACTGCTTCCGACACACCCATCCCGATTACCCCAGTCACTGAATCCACCTCATAGAGGGTCTTCCCTCCCTGCGCTGTCCCTCTACTCTACCCAGCATGATGTCCCTCTCTAAAGACCTGTCTCTCCTTACAACATGTCCAAAGTATGTCAGATGAAGCCCCAGAATCCTTGCCTCCAAGGAGTTGCTTGATTTAATCCTCTCTAGGATGAATCTGTTTTCTTGGCAGTCCATGGTACATTCAGTCCTCTTCTCCAGCACCACAGCTCAAAGGCGTCAATTCTCCTTCTGTCCTCCCTGGTCATTGTCCAACTCTCTGATGCATAACAAGTGATTGCAAAAACCATGGCCTATATCAGGCGGACCTTAGTCTCCAGAGAGACACCGTTGCTCTTGAGTACTTTAAAGAGGTCCCTAACCGCAGACTTTGCCATCGCAATACATTTTTTAATTTCCTGGCTACTGGTGCCAAGAGTGCCATAAGTTAGAAAAAATCATTGGCGCTTTCTTTACTTCCAATAAAATTCATGTGAAGAAAGCATTTTAATGAGGTTTAGTGAGAATGAAAAAACCAGGAAAAAGAATAATAATGAAAATATTCTAAAACATTTAATGTGGCATTAACCATATGATATAAAGAAATTCTAGATTAAATATTTTACCCTTAGCAATTGAATACTTACAGTAAATATATAATAAATTCTTCTAAATTTTAATTTTCTATCACATCTACTAAGTGTACTTTAGTCCAGGATTGTAAGACTTATTATTCAAAATTCAGTCTTTATACTCTGTCATAGTAATAAAATAGGCAATCTCAGATGATAAAGCAAAATCATTTTGCAAATTAAAAATATTAGTGATAAAGACCGGAAACAAAACAAACCAGGAAAGAAAGGGAATTTCCTTAGATTAACAAAGGAAATCTACGAAAACCCCTACATCTGTGATAGGTAAAACATGGAATACTTTCCCCTTACAATTGAAAATAATTGGAAGTATAGAGTTATCAACTTAGTACTGATTCCTTGGTAGTGCAGTAATTAAAAAAAAAAATTAAAGTATACAAATTACATGACGAACATAAATAGTCTCACTTCTTGATACTTATTTGACAGAAATATATATATATATATGATTATCTACACAATACAATACTATTTTAAAAAGAGATCACAGTTAATAAACACAATGTGGCTTAATGTGGAAGAATACTGAATGAAAAGTTAAGACTTCAAAAAGGTTATATTAGTTTACATTTCTATAACATTCCTGAAACGACAAAATTGCAAACACAGAGAATAGGTTAGTGTTTGTATTTTTTAATATGAGACGATAGGAAAGTGGAGAAAATCTTAATGAGAAAGTGCTATAAAATTTTATTGTTTTTCTCCTAATCTATTGCTAATATTAATATATAAATCTCAATATCAACACAAGGATTCTCATCACTGGGCCAATTGGCAGCAGCATGATGAATGTAGAAGAGATTGAGGTTGAGCATAGTTACAGCTTGCTCAGCCCCACAATCAACATTTTTGGCACCAGCAGTCAGGAAATCAGAAGGTGGATTGCATTGGGTAAATCTGCTGTCAAGGACCTCCCCTGTGTACTGAGAAGCAACAGTGTCAGTCTAGAGATTAAGGTGTACCTGATCCAGTCCATGGTCTTTGCAATTACATGCTGTGCATCAGAGAGCTGGATAATGACTAAAGAGAATAGAAGAAGAATTGATGCCTTTGAGTTGGTGCTGGAGAAGCATCATGAACATACCATAGACCACTAAGAAAACAAATAAATCTGTCTTGGAGAGAATGAAACCAAACTTCTCCTTGGAGGCTAGGATTTCGAAGCTCCATCTCACATATTTTAGGCATGTGTCCAAGAGGGACTGATCCTTGGAGAAGGACATAATGTTCGGAAGGGTTGA